GCTACCACGCCCGGCTGATTTTTTGATTTATTGTAGAGATGAGGTCTCGCTGCCCAGGCGGGTCTCAATCCTGTGGGCTCAGGCAGTCCACTCACTTCAGCCTCCCAAAGGCACGGGATTACAGGCTGAGCCACCGAGCCCGACTTTCAGTAGTATTTTTAAAATAGTTTCGGCCTTCTAGACCCCCTGAAAGATCTTGGGGACACCCGGGGGACCCTGGACCATACCTTGAGAACTGCGAGGCTACCACTTAAAAGAAGAGTGACCTTTTCTTTTTTTAGTTAGAATCTCACTCTCTCCTAGGCTGGAGTGCAGTGGCATGCTCATGGTCACTGCAGCCTTGACCTGCTGGGCTCAGGCGATCCTTCTACCTCAGCCTTCCAAGTAGCTGGGACAGGTGCTTGCCACCGTGCCTGGCTATTTTTTTGATTTATTGTACAGATGAGTTCTCGTAAAGTTGCCAAGACTGGTCTCCAATCCCTAGGCTCAGGCAATCCTCTCATCTCGGCCTCCCAAAGTGCTGGGATTATAGGCGTGAGCCACGTGCCCAGCAAGAGAGTGATTTAGAGAGTTAAATAGAAGTAGGGTCATAATGGATCTATGGGTGATACTTAAGAGTTTGGACTTTATCTTAGGGTGACAAGTAATCATTTAAAGGATTGTATTTATTTATATATACATATGTGTATTTTTTTTTTTTTGAGTTGGAGTCTTACTCCATTGCCCAGGCTGGAGTGCAGTGGCATGCTAACGGCTGGCTACCCCAGCATCGATCTGCTGGGCTCAGGCAATCCTTCTGCCTCAGCCTCCAAGTAGCCAGAACTACAGGTGTGTGCTACCACGCCTGGCTAATTTTTTGATTTATTGTAGAGATGAGGTCTCACCAAGTTGCCCAGGTTGGTCTCAAACTCATGGGCTCAGGCAATCCTCTTACCTCAGCCTCCCAAAGCGCTGGGATTATAGGCTTGAGCCACCGCGCCTGACCTATATATTTAATTTAATTTAATTTAATTTATTTATTTTTTGAGTTGGAGTCTCACTCTGTTGTCCAGGCTGGAGTGCAGTGGCACACT